AAATACGCGCTGCTCACGCATGCGGTGTGAAACGGCCGTCAGACGTGACTTAGTCACGAGACAGCATTAGCCAAAACTTTGTCCGGGCCTTATGTCTGATGTCGGGTTACACAAAGCAAATCGTCTACAAAATTATTTAGTGATCCTATTTAATGACCGACAATTTAGTTGTAATAATAATTTTGGCATAGGGCCTAAGGCTTATTAGCGTTAGGCTATAGCCTGAAAGCTCTGATTTAGCCTACACAATGTTACAACAGTAACACATTTTTTTTTTCACAATGACATTTGAGTTCATGATTTTAATGTGTTTTTTTTTTTTTTTGGCAGACTAAAGACTAATTTATTACTTTATAAATTAGAACTTTATAAAACTAATTTATTAATTTATTAGACTAAAGACCGTCTTTATTACTGAGTCAGTCATCAATCAGTAGAGAAGACTTTAATATTGAAGGACAATTGCATTAGGTAGGTAGGCTTATTATAAGACATTTAATGGCTAATTCACACTCGTACCTTATGCTTACATGTACGACGCAGTCTAGACCGGACGCGAGCAGAGCGACGCGACCTGTGAAATCCCCAACAGCACACGGATTCCCCATCCTATTTGTGACCCAGCTCTTTGCAACAGTCGCTTCAAGCACTGTGTTGCGTCGCACCGCGCCGCTCGCGTCCTGTCTGTGTAGGTGACACGGTGGCGTTCTAATCAATTTTACACAAAATATACTTTAAAACAAACACCAGAGACTGCTTAGACAAATGTCTCACGTGATGAGAACGCTACCTAACAAACACAAAATCATTCATGTTTAAGAAACCTTCTGCAGTCCCTAATGGACCAAAATGCTCTGTTCGACTTTTCTGAGATCATCTACTCTTCCCTGTGGATGACCTGTGACCAACTTTCTGTAAGACCTGAATTTTTGAGTTTGAATTTTTGAGATTGAATTTTAGAAAACTGAATTTGAAGTTCCGAATTTATTCATCTTGAAAACTTGAATCTGTATTTTTTTTTAAACTGAATATTTGCAGTATTTGAATTCAGAACAAAAAAACTAGCTGTTTGAAAATACATGTCTATAAAATTCAGCCATAAAAACCTTTCAATTTGTTAAATTTCAAATTTTCAATATTCGTTTAAAAAAAATCAAATTCAGAACTAATTAAACTACCACATAAAATTCAATTTTGTTAGATTACACTTGCAAATAATTCAAATTTACACAATTCAAATTCAAATCATTTTGTCATATTATTAGCTCCATAAACATTGAGCAACAAAACTAACAAGGCATGATACAACTGGAACAAATTATACACAGACATAACAGCATTGAGTTTTTGTCACTCATCAGTCAAACTCTCAGATCATTGCGGTAAAACTTACATCACTTCATCAATGTCACACCATGAACGAGTATGATGTATCAGTTATTGTGAAATAATGTGACAGATATATGAGTCATATCTAAATATCATGAAATTGCAGGGTATAACAACATTTGTTGTTGAGGTCTTTGAGATTAATTTTTGATTATGATGAATCTTTTTATTCAATTATATTTGCATATAGGCCTATGTATAACTGTGTGTGTATTTGATTAAAAAAAAAACAGAATAAACAGTAATATTGTGAAATATTTCAATTTAAAATAATGGTTTACGATTTGAATATACTTTAAAATATAATTTATTTCTGTGATGCAAAGCTGGATTTTCATCAGCCATTACTCTAGTCTTCGGTGTTACATTATCCTTCAGAAATCATTCTGATGATTTATTATCAACGTTGGAAACATCTTAGTATTTTTTAGGAATCTGATACTTTTTCAGGATTCACTGATGAATAAAAAGTAAGAAAATAACCGCATTTATTCAAAATAGAAATCTTTTCTAACAATATAAGACTTTACTATCACTTTTTATCAACTTATCACATTCCTGACACCAACATTTTGAGTATTCAGTCTATCTTTTAAGTATATATTATTTTTTTTTTATTTTTTAGGTTGGAATATGATCAGGACATATCATTTAGCCCACAGGTTGACATTTACCCTTATATGAAATGAATGTCCCCACATCTGTTTTTTGTGCAGAAACACGGTAAAGCATCCTGCATTTTTAAAGCAGAGAACAAGAGAACAGACATGCTATTAACATGTGGGGATTTAACCTCAGTCACCATCTGGCCAAGAATTTCATTACTTCTGCTTAGCCTACACTACTTGCTTGGCGACCTTGCATTAGCTGTTTATGTTACGTTTCCGTGAAATATACAAAATATAAAAATCTTTTATTATATAAATATACAAATCACATTCGTGTGAGGAGGATTAGTAGCCTATATCAGACGGTGGACAAACACAAGTGCTGTCATTACTTATCATTATAGATGTAGCCTACACCACTAAGAGGAATTGCATCTACGCTAATGTTAGTCTTTCTGTTTATTCCGAGGTTTACTGTAATCAGCCGAATCCGGGCCTTATCCAGATCAGATGGAGGACCTGAGCCTAGACACAACCACAACACATGATGTAGTCAGCCGGATCCGGGCCGTATCAGATGGAGGACCTGAGCCTAGACACGACCACAACACATGATGTAGTCAGCCGGATCCGGGCCGTATCAGATGGAGGACCTGCGCCTAGACACCACCACAACACATGATGTAGTCAGCCGAATCCGGGCCGTATCCAGATCAGATGGAGGACCTGAGCCTAGACACGACCACAACACATGATGTAGTCAGCCGGACCCGGGCCGTATCAGATGGAGGACCTGAGCCTAGACACGACCACAACACATGATGTAGTCAGCCGGATCCAGGCCGTATCCAGATCAGATGGAGGACCTGCGCCTAGACGCCACCACAACGCAACGTGTCAACTAGACTCTCCCCTGTAAGGCCTCATCGACACGACAGCCATGGGCACAAGGGTTGCCACCTGGCCCGGTTTTACCGGGATTGTCCTTCTTTTTAATAACCTGTCCCAGGAAATTTATACACTCTCCCGGGAGACTGAATGTCCCGGTTTTCGAAAGGCTACGTGAATATGTATGTTCAAACTGTGTAGCGCACGCACGACAGAGAGGGAGAGAGCGAGAGACCTTGCGTGTATGTGCTAGTGTGCGTGTGTGCCTCAAAAAGCGCATGTAAGAAGCGCATGTAACCCCCCCTCTACCCCCTCCGTTGGGCGGGTCATCGATATGTCCCGGTTTTTTATCAGACATAGGTGGCAACCCTAACTGTACGTTCACACCGCCGCCGACTTGAGCTTCCAAAGCGGGCGGAAGTCATTCATTTTCAATGGAAGCTGGCTTCTCTCAGCTGCAAGGACGGTCAAATCCCTCGGCATCGCGTTTTGGGCGTTTTGAGCGTCTTGAGCATCAATCAGAAAGTTGAAAGAAGCTCAACTTTATGGTAATGAGCTGTGACGCGGTTCAGCGGCAAGCAGCGGCAAAACGCCAGCAACCAATCGGAATATAGACGTCCTTCGCGCTGGCGGATTCCGGAGAAACACACGCTGTAAACTTTCGTTCCTACCAAAACATTAGTTCCGAGAAAATGGAAGAGAAGCCAATAATCGCCGTTGCTGGGTTTCCTTTCATTTATGACATGACGTTGTTTGCTTATAGGGACCGTGAGTGCGCAACTTTTATTTGAAATATTTACGATCGCTCGTTTTAAAGCGGGAATGCAATTCATTTGCTCACGGTGACACCGATTTGACCGCAAATAATAATAATAATAGTTCTATTCTTTTTTCCCCGACCAAATGTGACCAAAACGGTTATAAAAATGTTGTAATTATAAAAGATTTCTTTAATGTATTGCTAGTTTTTTTCTGTTTATTACATTTTATGTTGTGACACTTCTATTCTCCCTGCAACGTCAGAGCGTTCAAAGCGTCCAAAGCGTCAACAAGCTTCCCTGTACTTTTTGACAAGCGTCCTTGACAGGGCGGCCAGAGCTTCTTTGACGCTCAAGTCGGCGGCGGTGTGAACGTACAGTAATGGGCACTGATCCTCAACAAACCCGTCTGCATACCCGTGTGATGACTCCAATCTTCAACCATGGAACTGGATAATATTCTGAATGTTCCAATTCAATCTGTCTTCTGACCTGTAATGCTGCCTGAATCATAATCACACTGTTCGCTAGTTGGCCAGAGGAGAACTGGCCCCTCGACTGAGCCTGGGTTCTCCCGAGGTTTTTTTCTCCATTCTGTCACTTGATGGAGTTTGGGTTCCTTGCAACTGTCGCCTTTGTCTCCTTGGGGACATTTAATATTCAACAATATTATTGATCTGCCTGCATTGACACCATTATATGAGAACTGAACTGAGCTGGACGATGACATCAGGGTTTTCTCCAGAGCGGCTATATATATTTAGGCCTATATATAAATGAACTAAATTAACAACTTTTTTGCAACAAAAATGAACCATCACTGTACAAGCTGGACTAAGAAGCTATTTTCTTCTAGAAACAAACTTTGTTGCATTATTTTCCTGTTAACACTGTAAAGCTGCTTTGAAACAATCTGTATTGTTAAAAGCGCAATATAAATAAAGGTGACTTGACTTGACTAATATTAAACAAAAAAGATTGTGTTTAAAATGTGTTATGTTTAAAAGATAGCTGACGTTTATCTCAGGGTGATAAAATGCGCAAGACAAACCCTCAAACGAAAATTATGACAGAAATGTATATATACTACTATGCTCAATTATAATAGCAATAAAGTTAATCAGGGTTTGGTGTAATTTTCGCTTCATTGCACAAACCAACTGACATCAAAGTCCCTTTAAGGTTGACATTTAACACTCTCCTCCCCTCCTCCTCCTAGAATTCACCATATAGTCAGATAATTTAGGGTGCTTCAATTAAATCCAGAGGACAACAATTATCTCACATGACTGCACGGATGGCTTGCTTCCACACTGTGGATGTGTCAGCATCAAGCGAGCGGCCAATGGGAGAGCGTTTTGGCCGTGACGTCAGGGGGGCTGGTCGTGCGCGTGGAGAGCTCCAGTCAGTCCCGCGAGCGCAGTCAGTCAGTCAGTCAGCTCGTGTGTGCAGCTGACCCGCGCGTTCAATAGACTAGATTCCCAGCCACGTAAGTAAGATGATGATGATGAAGGTGGTGTCTTGTTGCTAAAACAAGGGATAGGCCCGGGGAGAGCGTCGGCCGTCCCTTCTAGCCTTTGTCCAAATCAGATCCATCCGCCGGAGATCGTCGGAGTTTAGTTGCTCGCGAGGAGAAGGACATCCACTTCCCAGGCGTAACAAAAGGCGGCTCGCGACCTGGAGGAAATTTTTCCTAGCCATATTTGGTAGATGCATGGACATGACTCGCGTGGAGGCCCGCTTGAAAGCACACGGAGCATCCTCTCAGGATATTTGAACACAGCTGGCACTTTTTGCCAAAAAATCTATTCTTTACCTGCTGCACGCCGAGCTGCACTGCATCGACCGTGACGTCACAACCTTTACATTATACCGCGCCGATACATTAATTTCTAGCTCTAATCATAAAACCGTGCTTTTCTTTGAGTGCACAGTGGTCATAGAGGTCACAATTCGTGCATGCACGTCATTGCATTTGTGCTCAAATGACGCCACATTGTCATTGCAATTAACGCACATGCATACGGTCATCAGTGTGAGCATTAAAGTCAAGGGGAATCGCCGCTGCCTTCATGCCCAGTGTTAAATAGAGGACGTCTGTCATTCACTTCCACCTCCCCTCTGAGACCGTCTAAACCCTCCTGATCTGGACGAACCTCCTCCTATACTCATGAACATACAGAGATCCAGTCCCATTAACATTTCGCGTTATGGGAGATCGAGGTATAAAGCACACGACTTTGAGGAGCTGTCTTGTCTAAGGACTACAGAATCCAGCCAGAGTTTTAGTCCCAATTTAGGATCTCCCAGCCCCCCTGAGACCCCTGACTCCTCTCACTGCATTTCTTGCATTGGAAATTACCTTTTGTTGGAGCCCATTGAGGGAGACCACGTCTTCAGAGCCACCCACCTGCACAGTGGGGAAGAGCTCGTGTGCAAGGTAAGAAACACACTTATGCATGTTATTTTGTAATGGCACACTCATGCAATTGCATCAGCTATTGATAGGCAGGTAAGCATGACATGCATCTGTTTATTGCATTCATTACCAATGTGTCATATGATGCATTATCAAATGAATGGCCTTCCTTTTGTGATTCTTCAACAGTGATATGAAGTGTTGAAAAAAGCATTAGGGAATACCCTGAAAAGTGTGTGTGGATGCTTGCTTGCATACAGCCATGCATTCATGCGTGCAAGTCCACATGACTTTGAAACATAAGACACTCTGAATGGGCTGACACGGGCAAAGAGCCATTAGTGAAAACCTCTTATCTTCTGATGAGAGAATGGCCTCAGATGTCCACTGCAGTTGTGTTATATTTAGCCTGTCTCTCTTTTAGGTGTCTGTTACTAAGCAACATTAAAATTCAATGTATGTTTTGGGGACTCTGAAATGCAGCAGAGGTGTAATGCCTTTTGACTCTGCGCTGCCCGGGTTTCCATTCTTTTGTTTCAGAATTATGCATTGAATCTAATGATACCAATACCAGTGCTTTTGTCGGGGGGGGGGGGGGGCTAATACCTTTGCACTCCACCTGAGATGTTGGGAAATCGATGATGACTACTAATTGAATTCAAAATTCTCTCTTCAGGTGTTTGATATCAGTCGATACCAGGAGTCCTTGGCTGCTTACTTTGTTCTGGGCACCAATGAGCACATTAACCAGATAGTGGAGATTCTTCTGGGGGATACACGAGCGTACGTGTTCTTCGAGAGGAGCCATGGTGACATGCACTCTTTCGTTCGCACTTGCAAGAAGCTGCGAGAGGAAGAGGCTGCCAGACTTTTCCATCAGGTAGCATCAGCGGTGGCGCACTGCCACGACAACGGCCTGGTCCTAAGAGACCTCAAGCTGAGGAAGTTCGTCTTTAAGAACGAGGACAGGTAAAGAAGCCACTAATAAAGTTGTTGCATTCAAACAGAACATGCACAGTCTTTAAAGAGAGATTTGTTTTGCATGGAAAGCACATTATTTTCATACTGTGATTGTAGCATGGTAAATATCATGGTATATTAGATTGACTTGACAAACACAATTTCCTATTGAAACAAACATATTGAAGGGTTAGTTCACCCAAAAATAAAAATTCTGTCATTGCTCACCACTTCAGAACACAAATGAAGATCTTTTTGATGAAATCTGAGAGCTTTCTGTCCGTCCATTGACAGCTTCACAACTGACAATTTGATTCTTCAAAGAGTTCATAAAGAGATTGTAAAACTAATCCATATGAATTGAGCGGTTTTGTCCAAATTTTCTGAAGAGACTCGGTCGCTTTATATGATGAACCGATTGAATTTAGGCTTTTATTCACATTTAAACATTGATCAGTGAACATAAACAGAAGCTCAACTGTGAACCTGCTTGACACGCGAGAACAAACCTCATTGGTTCTTGCAGAAGCTCAAACGTGCTGCGTAACACGAGAATGAACCTCATTGGTTCTTCCTGAAGCTCAAACGTGCTGCGTAACACGAGAATGAACCTCATTGGTTCTTGCAGAAGCTCAAACGTGCTGCGTAACACGAGAATGAACCTCATTGGTTCTTCCTGAAGCTCAAACGTGCTGCGTAACACGAGAATGAACCTCATTGGTTCTTGCAGAAGCTCAAACATGCTGCGTAACACGAGAATGAACCTCATTGGTTCTTGCAGAAGCTCAAACATGCTGCGTAACACGAGAATGAACCTCATTGGTTCTTGCAGAAGCTCAAACGTGCTGCGTAACACGAGAATGAACCTTATTGGTTCTTGAGGAAGCTCAAACGTGCTGCGTAACACGAGAATGAACCTCATTGGTTCTTGCAGAAGCTCAAACGTGCTGCGTAACACGAGAATGAACCTCATTGGTTCTTGAGGAAGCTCAAACGTGCTGCGTAACACGAGAATGAACCTCATTGGTTCTTGCAGAAGCTCAAACGTGCTGCGTAACACGAGAATGAACCTCATTGGTTCTTGCAGAAGCTCAAACGTGCTGCGTAACACGAGAATGAACCTCATTGGTTCTTGCAGAAGCTCAAACGTGCTGCGTAACACGAGAATGAACCTCATTGGTTCTTGCAGAAGCTCAAACGTGCTGCGTAACACGAGAATGAACCTCATTGGTTCTTGAGGAAGCTCAAACGTGCTGCGTAACACGAGAATGAACCTCATTGGTTCTTGAGGAAGCTCAAACGTGCTGCGTAACACGAGAATGAACCTCATTGGTTCTTGCAGAAGCTCAAACGTGCTGCGTAACACGAGAATGAACCTCATTGGTTCTTGCAGAAGCTCAAACATGCTGCGTAACACGAGAATGAACCTCATTGGTTCTTGAGGAAGCTCAAACATTGGACACACATTTTTTAAAGATCGAACCTCTAAAATATGTCATGTTGTAGAAGTAAAATGGGTTTTGAAGGCATTGCATGTTGTCTTTTTAAAAATTTAACTGCCCATATGTCTGGCAGTAAAATTAGTCTGAAATAATCCCAAGTGTGCATTAAGAATCTGGGTGGCCTTCCCGTTTAAGCTAGATGGCAGTTGCCCCACTGGCCAAATGAGTCAGCTCAGCTAGATTCCCTCTGGCTCGCTCGATGGAAATGGAGAACGTTGCCCGGTGTTTAAAATGTGAGCTCAGTGACCTTACTGTTCCCATGCTCTGAGGTCTTCTGCGTCAGCCGTCCACCTTTCAGTGAGTGATTGCAGATGAGCGCAAGTAGACGTGGCCAAGGGTGGTGAGTATTACCCTGGCCAGAAATCAAACACCAAGGGCGCACCAAGATTGGAACCAGAGAGTAAAACGAGCCAGACAGAACTGCATTCTTCGGCGTAGTGGGTTCCTGACCTGGTTATGTCATGAAGGACGCTCATAACATTCTACTGTCAAACGCTGGAGACCGCAGTGCAGATCGTCTGGAATCACTCCCTAATGTAATAGCGCGTGCGTCCACGTGTCCTCCTCCGTTTTTCCTGCTTTCGTGTGGGCCGGTGTTCTTTGCAGGCTCTTGACCTGGTGTAACTCAGCTGCGTCGTGGAGCTGTGACTCACATATGCTGCATGTCATTAAGAGAATATTTCCAGCATGCCGTGTTCTCTCTTGCACGGCGGCATTCTGCCGGTGCATGGAAACGGTTCACAAGTTCAGGTCAGAGAAGGGGCACCCTGTTCATTTCTGACCTTCAGGTAATTTAGGCACCCTGCAACCTATCCACACAGCAGGATACCGCTTGTCATGAAAAATAATATGACTATTTTGAGCTCCGAGGATTGGATGTTTCGCTGAGACTCAGTGGGCGTACGGTTTCATTCGGGTAGTTTCTGATTCAGAATCTGAGTCACGAGGCAGCGTGCAAAAGACCTCCAAGATGTTTTCATTGCATATGTTGTTTTTATGATTTGTCTTTGTTTGTAACTTGGGCTGTGCGACGCAGCTAAAATCTGTATTTTTCAGCTTTTTGACAGCTAAGCAATGTCACATGCGCAAGAGTGCACATGAAGTGACTTGTATAACTTGTATAGAAGTTTGAGGTCTGTAAGAGTTTTTTAAATTTATTTCTTTAAGGTTTTGAAAAAAGTCTCTCATTCTTTCCCAGGTTGCATTTAATTGATCATACTTGCATTAAAAAGAATAATATTGTGAACTCTTATTTCAAAAAAAAAAAAAAAATGTAATTCATTCCTGTAATGCAAAGCTCAGTTTTTAGCATCATTACTCCAGTCTTCAGTGTCACATGATCATTCAGAAGTCATTTCTTAAGATTTCTTATTATTATCATCAATGTTGAAAACAGTTGTGTTGCTTATTAATACTTTTTTGGATATCATGATACACTTAATTTTTCATATACATTTTTTGATACCATGATACACTTATGAATGATGAATGGAAAGTTCAAAAGAACTTAATTTTTATGAAATTTTAAACTTTAGTAACACAATAGGCCTGGTTTCACAGACAGGGCTTAGATTAAACCAGGATTAGGGCTTAGATTAAACCAGGATTAGGCTTTAGTTCAATCAGGATATTTAAGAATCTTTTATAAATGTGCTTTAGAAAAAAACATCACTGATGTGCATCTTGAGACAAAACAGTAGATATCAGTGCAAGTTGTTTTCAGTTAAAACAGCTCAAACATGCATTTTAGTCTGGGACTAGTCTTAAGCCTTTTCCGTGAAGCAAGAGTAAATGTTCTTAACTGTCACTTTTGATCAGTTAAATGCATCCTTGCTGAATAAAAGTATTAATTTCATTCATTTATATATATATATCCGATATTTTAACTTGCTTTTATCACATTGTTGTTTTTACTAATTATTACTTGTTTTTAAGTTTATGGTGCAAATGAATCATTGAATCATAGTTATGAATCTATTTATAGAAGCTGTTTGGACTGATTCATGAACATGATTTGCACTTACCCTAAACCCTGTTTTTGCTTAAGTTTAAATCAGAGGCATTATTAAAATGTCTGTCTTGATGCTCTCATATGTGCAAGACAAGAAAAACTGCATCTTAATTAAGACTTGCATCTTAAAATGTCACAGTATTCATTGTGAATATATAGCAGATTGTTTATCATCATCTGTACTCTGCATGTTTTGCATTATTGTGCAAATTACAAGATTACAGTGAAAAAACTAGGATCACAGGGGAACAGTGATGGTTTAAGGAATTCCATCTGTGGTGCAGCATTATTCGTGCTTTTTATAATTCCGAGGATGAATTCCAGATTTCCCTCAGGATTACAGTGGCAGGAATGTCCAGAGGCTATCTTTATATTGCTTTTTTATGCAAGGGATTTACCATCCAATATATAGAGTATATGCTTTGCTGTCAAAAAGCTACTATCCTATAACTATAGTAGAGAAAAATATATGATTTGAAAGGGTTTCATTCATTTTGAATTGCCAGATTTTGAAGCATAAAGATGATCAAATTGTTTTGGACCAGGTCATCATTTTGCATAGACAGACATTCGTGTACTTTTTTGAGTGATCTATCTTGAAAGCCAACACAATTGAACATTTGCTTCATTGTTTTTATTTTAAAACTAACTTTATTCTTCTATGTACAACATGATGTTTTCCTCTTTTGTTCATTTGGTTTTATATCTGGAATTATTTCCATTTTATGTACTTTGTTAGTCATTTCCCATTGAAATTTGATAGCTTGTTTACAGAGCAGTATGTCCAAATTCATAGTATGGAAGTAGGCATATTCGGACAAATGTTTGTTTTGCGTTTTCCAATTTGTTTATTACGTGCATAACGTCTTCAAATATGTTTTTAATGTGATTCTTCATTGTCTTTCCCAGGAGCCTTGTAAAATTGGAGAGTTTGGAGGATACGTACCTCCTAGAAGGCGGTGACGATTCTCTCTCGGACAAACACGGCTGTCCAGCCTACGTCAGCCCAGAAATTCTCAATGCAAATGGCAGCTATTCGGGTAAGGCAGCGGATGTTTGGAGCCTAGGCGTGATGCTCTACACCATTCTGGTGGGCCGCTATCCGTTCCACGACGTGGAGCCTAGCTCTCTGTTTAGCAAGATCCGTCGCGGCCAGTTCAGCATCCCCGAGACGCTAACGCCCAAGGCGCGATGCCTCATCCGTAGCATCCTGCGACGAGAACCTGCAGAACGCCTCACCTCCCGAGAGATCCTGGACCATCCCTGGTTCTCGGCCTCCAGCGGTCCAGCCATCGCCAACCACGGAAGAGGAGAACGCGAGTTGGACCAAATGGTACCGGAGGCCAATATGGAAGAAGAACTAGAACAGTTCTTTAGCTGAGCACAAGCTCGTCAGACATTATGCCACGTCCTTTTAGATTATCAGAAAAGAAATACACTCATCACAGTGGTGTCTATCGTTATTTCTCATTCCGTGGAGAGACATGATCGGTTCTGGCTAGGGGGGGGGGGGGGGCGTTGAACACCCTGAGCTATGACTTCTGGACAAAGCTAAATGCTGATGGCGTTGAGTAATGTAGCAAGACTTCTTTTGGTTTTTCGTTTATTTCCGTTTTCATTTTACGTGGTGCTCACGAGGCGTACGAGTCGCAGTAAGCTACAAACATGCATTACAGCACAGGAGAACGCAGCCAAGGAACAAATATCAGGCAAAACTGCTAAACCGCTCCTGTTTCCAGCTTCGATTTGTCGAAGTCGTTGACCGTGTCTTCGTTTTATTATTTTGGATCTTTTCCTCGAATGCTACTTGTTGGTTGTGTCTCAATCTGATCCTCAGTTTATTTGAAGTATATCAGCCTGTTCGCTCTTCGACAGCCCTCCACTTCAATACTGCAAACATCATGGCATATGTTTTGTTTCTGATCCATTATGGCTGCATTAAGAAACGATTTGTGTTGCATTAAGCTGTTCCTTTTACTATTATTGCTGCTTTTTTTTCCGCTCTAACCATACCTAAACCTTTTCCGTGAGCCTTCAGAAAATAAAAAAAACGTCAAGCACTTGACTCGCCTAGGCTTGGAGATCCTCTCTGAACTAGAGTCATCTATTTAACTTTTAGTTTTTTTCTTTTGCTGGAGCAAAATGTATCCTTTTTTTTTCATTTTTATTTTATTTATAATGTTACTACTACTATATTTAAAAAGAAATACGTGCAGGGTTTTTTAGTTTTTTTTCTTAACCGCCAGTTTTCACGAGTATTGTAGGCGATACATTTGACACAGGACAGGTTGGACTTTTTGTACCAAAGTTTGTCCCAAGTAGGAAGGTCTACGATTTAACGTCAGTGCCAGTAATCGCGCACCCCAAACTCACGCTGACTGTACTCCTTTTTTTTTTTTTTTGCATTTAACTCCATAAATATTAGACGATATTTACGACTACACCGTCTCGAGTACCTCATGTTAACTACTGCCTGCATAGGTCTGTGAAATGATCATGTTTTGAATGGGTACATGTAGACATGTTTCGTCGTATATCAATGTTACTTGAAATCGTGATTTATATCTAGTCAATGGCATGTGCCCTTTGAATGCTTTAGCCTGCCTAGCAAGAGGGGAGTTCGTTTTTTCCATTATTTTTTTTTCTTGAAAAATCTTACAAAATATTTACTATAGGATTCCAATTGCGCTTTGGAGTTTCTTTTCATCTTTTTTTTTTCTCTCCTTGGTCATTGTGCTTTTCCCTCGTTATGTAGAAGGAACTTGCCTACCTAAGTTGGTGCTGATTAGGTGCTAATTTTGAAGGATGTTTTTCTTTTTTTCATTCTTTTTTTTTTTTCCCTCATGATTTCAAGGGGAGGGGGGAGTGCATGGTGGGATATCTGCCTCAGATGCTCTGATTGTAATGTATCAAATTTTGGTGTTTTGTCCAGATTTATTCAGTAAATAAATTGTGAACTGCACACTGAATGCTGCATCTTTTTATACAATCTCTAAAGCACATAAACGGACAAATAAACTGGTCACATTCAATCATATTGTACATATTTAAAACATTTTTAAATGTGCATATGTGTGCATGCCCATATATAATACGATTGTCACTAAAGCTTAGAACTGACACTAGAAGAATAATTACTTCTGTTAATCGGCACAATTATCAGATTGTAACAATAATCTCAAATGGATGATTAATTGGCTAGCCTGATACTTTAATCTATCATGACTTATATTCAGGTCTTATTTTATACCCATTGGAGTTCATCATTTATAGTCTCTCTCTAGTTTAGATTATTTAATGTGCTTGATCTTCTGGACATTAAGACCTGTGATAATTCTCATGCAGACATCAGTATTTGACTTTATAATATAAAGCATTTTTTTCCCCCCCCCAGCAGATTGGTTGATTTCATTGCTCGGCTGCCACTAAATCTGACTAAAGCCTGCTGGGAAATAATCCATCAAATACAGATTAATGTCTTGTGCATTGGGCCCATTTTATATGATCTGCAGCTGAGGGCTTGAACTGACCCTGCAGCCTCGGTGTCATGTGCAGTCATGCCGTTTAACACACCGGACATTTAACGCTTGTGGACCAGACGATGAACGCTGATCCAAATAAAACACTGCCTGTCGAATAATGCAGAGGGTTTGCTATATAAGAAGAGACATTTCAGCTTTAAATATACTCTTTAAGAGCCAATGTGCAATATCTAAAGCTGTTGATGTCTCACACTCAACCCCTCTAAATGCATATGCAAATGTGTTCATGTGCAAACACACCTTCACACTTCCAGAAAAGGGTGTTTTTGGACGTAGGCAGTAGCCATGCTGTGATCAAAATAGATTAGTGCATTTGTTGTGCCAGATGTGCATATGCCACAATTCATGGAGCTTCTGAATATGCACATGAGCAGCATGCATTTTATCCACCTGAATATTTTGCATGCGTGATCTTGCAGCTGAAGTGCCTTTAAATGCCTAGAAGCACCTTTCAATTTTGATGCGAGTTGCAAGCTTTGTTGCAACGTGTAACATTCAAAAATCATATGTATAGGAATCTATTGTTTGTATATGTATATAATGTGGCAAAGAGATAATGTCCATTCAGAAGCAAGCACATTTAAGTTTAATGGAAGTTGAAGGATTAGTTGCAACATGCATTATAGCAACGTTACAGCAACAGGATTTCATTTCTGATGGGTGCAAAGGAAATTTTAATATCCTGGGGCTCATTACTCAGACCCCATTTAATAAAGGTATTCTAATTAAAATTCGCATCTGATAAGAACGGGCAATAGTTGTGCATGCAAATCCATACAAAACACCATAGTGTGTTCATAAATAATATTTCTGGAGATAATCTTCTCTAATCACTGCTGAGACTAAATTGAATATCACACTGTGTAAGACACCATTAGGTTGACAGTTACTGCCCATTGTGCTCCTTTAATTTGGCCCTGCACCATAGTGTGGAAGTAATGGCTTTCAGTGGGGTGATAATCATCTGGAATATTGTTCATCTGGAATATTGTTCATCTTTCGCCCCCTGGTGGACAAATGAGAACTGTGCCCCATTTTCTACAAATTAATCCCTTGCATCCCATCCAAAAACCATTATACAGGCATGAATGTTCTCCACAGGTGATGTTTCTTTGTTTTTATATTGGTTTAGTGCTACATTTGACTGTCACAGCTGTGTAACCCATTCACAGCTCCAACCCTTCCTCTAATCCTCTATAATGTGTTGTCTGTATTATACTGTTTGTGTCTGTTGTCATTCAGGTTGTCCAGTTAATCTCTCACTGCAGACATCTGGATGAACAGGACACAGCCATTTGTGCCTATATATTTACGGCTCATTTTATTTGCAAAGGCTGAATGAGAAAATCACATGGTTCCACCTCAGACATAAAATGTCACTTCCTTAAGTTTGATCATCAGAAACATCACGCCATTATTTTTAAAGGTGTATAAGTCACAGCAACAGTGAAGGACATATGGAAATCCTGCATCTTCTTAGGAAACTCTTTTTAACATTTTCAACGCATTGGCAATGAAAGCCTTTTTTTAGTTTGTAGAAATGTTTTTAATTGTTTAGAGTTGAACGGGGACATGCCGATTAGCTGATATTCAGATAAAACACAAACATTTAAAAATAAAATGAAGAAACATTTAAGAAAAATATTTAATAATAAATAGGCCTACTAAATTAGGCCTAAAAATTTTTTTTATGTAAAAACATCAAGAACAACACCTACAAAAATAAAGTTACTTCTAAAAATGTATACCGAAAATAATATAACATATAATAATATCCAAATATTTTGTTTCATTAAAATGAGCACGTTGGCTAATACAGTAAGCAGAAGGTGTTTGTAAAGACCAAATAGGCTACTGTGTGTGTGTGTTTGTGTGTGTACCTGGTATCCCCTGTGTTATGGGGACCAAATGTCCTCCTAAGAATAGTAATACCAGTAAATTTTGTCCTTGTGGGGACATTTTTTGGTCCCCATGAGGAAAACAGCTTATAACTCATACTAAGTGATGTTTTTTTTAAATGTAAAAATGCAGAACGTTTTCTGTGGTAGGGTTAGTTTAGGGGATAAAATATACAGTTAAAATAAAATAAAAATTATGTCTATGGAAAGAACATGAAAACACAACACACACACACACACACACACATATATAGCCCTATTGCTACTACAGCAAGAAAAAGTTGAAAACAAGGAGTTTGTAAAGACCCAAAAAAATTTTTAAACTTCCTTTACTAGACTTTATCGATGTATTTATAAAAATGTTTACCAGTGCATTTGTGCTATTCTGATTTAAAGCACAGTCTATAACACTAATCAGATTGCAGTGGAAAGTTCCATTCAAAAGCAGCCAAGCCTTTTCCCCCCATTCACTGATCAATCATGAATCATTATTGTTTTATTTGAAATCGACGACACGCATTTGCATTTTACCCCAGATGATAATGTGTGAATATAACCATACTGAGAAAGCGAATGCTTGAGCTCAGCACGTTATGATATTGGCAGAAATCAGAGGAATGAAGAATCCCAGCGGGGCTCGATGGGGTGGTGTTGGTTTTTCCGTGCAGTTGGAGCTCCACCGTGTTTATTTATCTTTTCCTGCCTCAGTCCAAGACAGAAGCTGCTCAAACCAACTCTAGGAAGCAGGCCAGAGCTAACATTTCATTTAGTGTGTTCCCCTCCTAAACAAAGCGATGTGGATATGCCATTGTGTTGCAGCTTACATCTGGCTTACAGGTTTTCATTATCCCCCATGTCAATAAACAGGAGTTCCTCCTCTGAATGGGAGCAGAAGTAGTAGCTACCACAGGGACCAATCAGAGGGAAGGAACTTGTGCCAGCATTAGGCTAGATACGGGAATCCCGGCCTGTGTATTTCCTATCCCAGTGGAGCACAGTTTGTGTACTAACCCAACCCAAACTAAACACCACGAACAGACTGTTACTGTTGTTCCCTTGAGGTCTCTGAGCTAGTTTACTCTCCTCATAACCTCACGTGATCTGCTGAGCCACTGGATGCGATGCATAAGTGATTCAGCTCGATCATTAACACTATCGGTTATTGAGTTGCTGGTTAATCCAGGACACAGATTTCATCCGAGCGGGATCGATAGTGCATGTGCAAGCAGCACTAAGTAGGAATTCCGTTTTTGTCAAACAGCGACCCCTAGAGTCGCTGTGGAGTACTTGCACTGTCGTGAATAGCACTCACGCAGAGATGGCTCGATCCCCTCCCCCTGTACACCGGTACCTGTTCAGTAGGATGGATATGGAGCCAGATCAGACTCATTAATAATTCACGCAAAAAATACGATTCACACATGCGTAGACAATTTCACATGCGTGAAACCTAATTCACGTACACACAAAACAATTCACGTGCGTGGGAAAAAAAAACATATTCACAAAAAGCTATTCACATGCGCAAAATAAAATTATATATTCATAAAATACATTTCACAAATGCAAAACACAATTCGTAGATATACAACTGTGCACAAAAACCTTTGAATGTTTAAAATGTAGGAGTGTGTCCTTGAATTTGATTGTGCAAATCGTACGAATCGCCTTGGATGTGTGTGTGTGTATTTTTGAGACTTTCCTGGCAGCGCTTACTCGTAAAACAGAGCAGTCGTACTCTTCAGCCAATCAGATTTAAGCTCATCAATTGACCAATCAGTATCACGTGAGGGCGGGCCTACCTGCATGTTACGTCATCAGCTTTCGACCAGTTCATGGCTGAGTAGAGGTAAGTGCAGTTAATCGTTCATTTCTGTGTTAACTGAAGTTAGAGATCAATTGAAGCATTAGTTTATGAGCTATTAACTGATGTAAGCAAGTGTTGTTGTAATCAGATGTCCCATATCGTGTCAAAAATGAAGAAGGATGATGCTTGTTTTGTTGTATTTTAGACAGCTAGCTACAATCATCACGCTAATGATTGCAAAACAATCATCTGTGGTCAATACCCACCCTAGCTCTCTCAGCACTGGCCTCATCCAGATTGTTCTTTAAATGGTGAATAGACCTATTTAATGAGCACCCAGTGTTTATTTGCTATTTGTGTATGTTGTTAAATTATTATTAACACTTGTTTCCCTGCATTTTTCAGGATTACTCACCTTTGGTGTGACATCTGGATAGCAGTCACAATTATCTTAATTCATGTTGTTTCTTTATTCTCTTTTATACTTTTGTTTTTATGTCTTAATTGGTAACACTTTACTATAACGTTTCATTAGTTAGCATGAACTAATAATGAACTGCCCGTAAACAGCCTTTAATTATTTTTTGTTAATGTTAATTTCAGCATTTACTAATACTTAATTAAAATCTTGTTAACATTAGTTAATGCACTGTAAAGTAACAATAAACAGCTATATTTTTAACTAACGTTAACAAAGATTATCAAACACCGCAAC